TATTCTTTTTTTATAAAATAACTGAATTGAATTTATAGTCCAAGTAAGACATGTTAATTAAAAAGCCATCAACCGATAATTTGAGCCATCAAAGTCTGTGCGGGAGCAAATCGATTTGCACCATTACCGAGGTCCTAAGGAGTTGAAAGCTCACTTGAGCTGAAAGCTCACTTGAGCTGAAAGCTCAAGTGAGCTTTTCTGATCACCCGTTGTCCTTCCGTACATCTGTCCGTCCGTCTGTGAACTTTTCACATTTTCAACTTCTTCTCAAGAACTACTGGGCCAATTTGAACCAAACTTGCTACAAAGCATCCTAGGGTGAAGGGGAATTTAAATTGTTAAAATCAAGGTCAAGACCCCTGCCAAGAGGAGATAATCAAAAAAGTACAAAAAAATGTTTTTCTCAAGAACTACTGGTCCATAAAAGCTGAAACTTATGTGGGAGCATCCTTGTGTGGTGTAGATATTAATTTATTAAAATCATGACTTCCGGGGGTAGGGCGGGGCCACAATAGGGAATCCAAGTTTTACATAGAAATAATAAGAACAAATCTTTAAAAAAAAATCATCTACTCAAGAACCAGTAGGCCAGGAAAGCTGAAACTTATGTGGGAGCATCCTTGTGTGGTGTAGATATTAAATTATTAAAATCATGACCCCCAGTGGTAGGGCGGGGCCACAATAGGGAATCCAAGTTTTACATAGAAATATACATATATAGAACAAATCTTTAAAAAAGATCTGCATCACCCAAGTTACTCAGGTGAGTGATGCGGCCCAAGGGCCTCTTGTTTTTTAGTGTATTTGGTAACGTTTCATAAGCAGTAAATACTTTAAATTTTATTTTTGTGTGTAATTACTTAAATTCTGTCTTTTAATTGCAGGAACCACTCGTTTATAAGTACTGAGAAAACTATGATCAGAGGGAGAAGTATGTCTTCAAAAGCTGACATAATCGCTTATTCCAAAGAGAGACAAAAAAAAAATTCAGAGAGGAAAGTTGTTTTTATTTGTGAGGTATGATTGTTATGATTTGGACTTAAAAAAAAATGTGTGTGTAAGTTAAAAGTACATTTTTAGATTAATTTCAACCTTTAATCATCCTGATTTTTTTCCCCATAATTTTACAGTCTGTGTATCAGAAGTTGCAGGTGAGAGTTTTAGGTTTTTTTGGTTTGCACTGTTGCACTCAGTTTTTCAATAATTATTATGAAATAAACTTATATAGCTTCAATAATATAGCCACCTCCGATTTTTAGCTCACCTGAGGTATGTCCAGTGCACGATGTTTTTTCGATATTGTCGACATCACTGTAAAATACCAGTCATCCTAATATCCTAACATACTTAACATGACAATAATTCCTTTGTTTATCTCTATATATATATATTACATTGTTTAACAATATAACGTCAACATCTTGTTAACATTGCCTTCCCCTTTTCTGTTGTTTACATCGTTCACATCGTCGAAATCGCAATGTTGGTCGGTATCGAGTCGACATCGTGTCAACATTGCCCCTCTTAATTTTCTTGTTTACAGCGTTCACATCGTTGACGTCACAATGTTGGTCAATATCGAGGCAACATTGTGTCAACATTGCCCCTCTTATTTTTCTTGTTTACATCGTTCACAACGTCGACATCGCAATGTTGGTCGATATCGAGTCTACATCGTGTCAACATTGCACTTCTTATTTTCTTGTTTACATCGTTCACAACGTCGACATCGCAATGTTGGTCGATATCGAGTCTACATCGTGTCAACATTGCACTTCTTATTTTCTTGTTTACATCGTTCACATCGTCAACATCGCTATTTTGGTTGATATTGAGTCGACATCGTGTCAACATTGCAAAATCTTGTTTACATTGTTCACAACGTTGACATCGCTGTGTTGTTCGGTAATTGAATTGATGTTGTGTAAACATTGCATTATTATTTTTTTTTCTTTATATACTTAGTTTCCGTGTTTGTCTATATTGAGTCATCATTAATTTTTTTTTGGTCTATTTATCTTTGTAAAATTGTTGACAACACATTTAACGCATAAAATCAAGTTCAGTTCATATTGATAAGGCAATACTAGTATAATCTGTTTACTTTTTACACAATGTCACCAGGGCAATCTTTGACTCTTATGAGTCCACATCAGGTGTACATCAAGTATGAAGCATGTCTCTTACATTGAACTAAAAACCTGATTTCCAACCTTGAAAACAGTGTTTGTCATCTGCACAGTACATGCGAAATAGTTTAAACATTAATTACATCGCGTTGTCAATATACAATGTAGAAATAAAAGCAATATAGACAATGTAAACTCTATATCGTATCAACATTGTTTACATTGCGATGTCGACCTCGATGATGTCGTCATGTAGAAAAAATGACAACGTAGACGACGTAAACACGATATTGTATCAACATTGTTATCATTGCGATGTCGACAATATCGAATTGATTAATGGAACTGGACATGAATGTGGCTCAAGTTAGCTTTTCTGATCAAAATTTGTCCGTTGTCTGTCGTTGGAGTCATGCAGGGTTGCAAATAACCACTCGCCCACTCGCAAATGTGAGTAAATTTTCCTGTGGGGACCAGCTCTTGAGAATGTTATCGCTTACCTGGCAATTAAGAATTTTATAGGACCTTTTCCAGAATCAGATTATATTACCTTAGTTTCATATATCCTGGGTGGATTTTTCTGTCTTTGATCATTCAGCTGATTCAATTTTTCAAAAACATTAATTGTAGCTTTATTTCAGATATTAAATATGTCAACCTAGTTAACATTTATCTTAAATTTAAAGAGTTATCTTTATTATTACAAGAATTTCCAGAACAACTTTTTGAAGTTCTGTTTTCTGCTGCTAGGCAGCCATGTTGGATGTCCACTGTAAATATAACACCTTGTTAATTCAGTCCAGGGATGTTTGGCAATTTCATTTATGAACGAAAAAAAACGACATATCGACCCTTGTTTTGGGGGGAATGTTACAAGAATCAAACATTTTTATGCCCCGCCATGAATATGGCCGGGGCATATAGTGTTCGTCATTCTTCTTCTGTCACACTTTGTGTTTAGCTCTGTTCAAAGCTAAGTTTTACAGAAACTATCCAAGAGAATTTCATCAAACTTCATATGCTGATAGATATTGATGAGAGCTTTGCAACTGCATCAACATTTTATGACCTTGACCTTTTCTTTGACCTTGATCCACTTTTCTTAAATTAGAATTTAGCTCAGTTTTAAACATACCATTCAAGATGGTGTTATCAAACTTCACATGTTGATACAAACTTGCACAGATGATGCATCTCAGGATGAACATTACCAGACTTGCTTCAGGTGCTGGACTTGACCTACATTTTCCAGATGAGTGACCAGGTTAAAGTTTTTGGTGCAGGTCCATTCCTAAGGAACTAAAAGCCCTTCTTGGACCAAACTTGCATGCATGATGCATTGAGAGATGGACACTACCAGACTTGTTTCGGATGCTAAATCTGACCTACATTTTCATTCCCAAGTAACTATAAGCCCTACCTGAATCAATTTTGCATGTATGATGCACTTAGGGATGGACACTACCAGACTTGCTTTGGATGCTGGATCTGACCCCAGTTTTCATTCTCAAGTAACTATAAGCCCTAACTGAACCAATATTGCATGGATAATACATCTAGGGATGGACACTACCAAACTTGCTTCGGATGCTGGATCTGACCTATATTTTGATTCCCAAGTTACTATAATCCCTACCTGAACCAAACTTGCATGGATGATGCATGGATGAACAGCTGGACCAAGTATTTCTGGGTAAAGGGGATTCAAACTAGTTCAAATGAAGGGCCAAGCCCTCTTCCTAGGGGACATAATTATAAATAAGTGAAAAATTAAAGGCATTTTAAAAGAAATCTTCTTATCAAGAACCACTGGGTCAGGAAAGATGAAATCATGTGAAATCATTCTTATGGGGCCATTTCACCAAGAACGATCTGGAAAAACCGCATGCAACCACGGGCGACCATGGTCGCACCTCTGTTTTTATGTAGTTGCATGAAAAATCCGTGCGACCTAGACATTTATTTTCCCTCTGCGCTCTACGTTCGATGTTATCTCGTATAACTTTCGTTGTAAACGTTCTTGGTGCGTCCTACACGCTCTATGGACGCATTTTGCATGCTCTACCTGCGCCTTTCCATCCAATATGCTCAATTCTAGTTCTTTTCTCAACTACTTCTCGTCTGAGTTACGCCAAATTTGCCCTGGTCATTCAGATTAAGTGCGACCTACTGCTATCGTATAAAAAGACCCAGTGATCAGTGGGCGATCATCAGTTTTGACCATAATTATGTGTAATAAACAACAATGTGTAAAAAATGATTTCATATATTGAATGTATGATAAGAGATTAAAATACAAACAAATCTAAATGAAACGACCAATAAAATTAAATAGAATAAAATGAAATTCAGAAATAAAAAATGAAAGAACAATAAAACCAAACTAAAAACAAAACAAAATATACCCCCCAAAACAAACACAGTAGCCAACAACAACAAAATCTCACCAAAACTTACAGAAAAAAAATGGGGGAAAAGAAAGAAAAATATAGAAAAAAAACCCATTGAAACCAACAACAAAAACCAACCAAAGCTTGCGCCCTATCTGCACGGTTTTCAGTAGGCGTGGCTTAATCGGATTAGGCGAAGGTAAGTCGCAACTTATGCGAGAAATGATCTTTAGTGGTTGAACCTTAAATGCACATAGATCGCACCTCAATCCTCTGATCATAATCAAATCGTCTCTATTTCACAAACAGTGAGCAAACTGGTCTAAGGAAAATCGGGAGCAGGTCGCACGAAGCGATTCTTGATTGCAGTGGATGTAGGCTACATCGCATGGATCGAGCGAGTGTTGAGAATTGATCGAGCAGTAAGATCGTGTGCTCGATCAGTTTTCGCTAAAAAAGACTTAGCTTCGCTCATCCCCGCTCTAGCTTCAATTATTCGTTGTTTCGACGCACTCTTTGCGACTTTTAAGTCGAGGCTCAGTTTTTTGACATGTCAAAAAACTGAGCTGCAATCTATTTTTCAGGAAGACCATTCTTCGACTTTGAGCGACCACAGGAGACCAAGGCGTGACCACTTCGCGGTCAACCTTCGATTTCATGCGATCTTCAACGATCAAGCCACGCTCTTAGATCGCAACTCAGTCTTCCGGGAAGAAGTTTTGGTGAATTGGCCCTATTAGGTAGTGTAGATTGTCAAGTTTGTACAGATCATGACCCAGGGGCAAGGGTGGGACCACAATGGCCGATCAAAATTTCACATAGGAATATATAGGAAAAATCTTTCAGAATCTTCTTCTCAAGATCCATAGGGACAGGAAAGATGAAACTCATGGAATCATCCTCAGGTAGTGAAGATTCAAGTTTGTTCAAATCATGACCCCCGGGGGAAGGGTGGGGCCAATATGGCTGACCAAAGGGTGATCTAATTTCAACAAAAGAATAAATAGGAAAAATCTTAAAAAAATTACTTTTCAAGATCCATAGGGACAGGAAAGATGAAACTCATGTTGAATCATCCTCAGGTAGTGTACATTCAAGTTTGTTCATATCATGTCCCCAGGGGTAGATTGGGACCACAATGGTCGATCAAATTTTACATAGGAAATACATAGGTATAGTGTAGAATTAAATTTGTTCAAATTATAACCTCCAAGGGTACAGGAGGGTGTCAATGGTAGATCAGTTTTACATAGGAAAATAAAGGGAAAAATCTCAATTCCAGGTAAACTATGTTAAGTCATTTTGACATGTAAGCATCCTCATGTATTGAGGATTTAAATTTGTTCAAATCATACCTTTGGGGTAGGATAGAGGGAAATAGTAAGAATAATCTAACTGTGTCTCAGGAAAAGCCCTCACCACAGTTAGAATACCTTCCATATAATTATATATACTCTTGGTGTATCAAATTATTGCAGAATCGCGCGGAAAGAATTTT